GAAGTGAAGGCTGTTGCCTAACTTGGTATCTCCCATCACCTCTTGGTTCTGGGGTCTGTTGCCTTCTGTCATTCTGGATTTCTGGGGACTGAGGCCTAACTTGATGTCTCCCATCATCTGAGATATCTGGGTTGTGCTGCCCACGTTGGCTCCTTTCTTCATCTCTTGGAACTGAAGTCTCCTGTCTAACTTGGTATCTCCCACCATCTCTTGGTACTGGGGTCTGCAGTCTATTTTGGTGTCTTCCATCATTCCAGTTTTCTGAGGACTGATTCCTAACTTGGCATCTCTCATTATTTGAGATTTCTGGGGTCTGCTGCCTATTTTGGCTTCTTCCATAATCCCTTGGAACTGAAGTCTCCTGTTTAACTTGGTATCTTCCATCACCTCTTGGTGCTGATGTCTGTTGTCTTCTGTCACTCTGAATTTCTGGGAGCTGAGGCCTAACTTGGTGTCTCCCATCATCTGGGATTTCTGGGGTTTGCTGCCTATGTTGGCTTCTTCCATCACCCCTTTGAATGGAAGGTTGCTGTTGAGCCTGATGTCTCTCATCCTCTCTTTCTCTTGTGGTGTGGTATCTCCTCTCATCCCTTGGTATGGGGGTCTGTCGTCTAATTTGGTCTGTTCTATCATTCCAGATTTCTGGGGTCTGTTGCCTACGTTGGCTGCTCCTGTCATCCTTTGATAGTGGGTCCTGTTCTGTAGTTTGCTGTCTTTCATCCTTGATTTCTGGTGACTGAGTTCTAACTGGGTGTCTTTTATCATCCTGTAGTTCTCTTTCTGATTGTATAACTTGGTGTCGTCTATCATCCTGGATTTCTGGGGACTGTGGTCTAACTTTGTGTCTCCCCTCATACTTTGGCACTGAGGTCTGCCGTCTCACTTGGCATCTTCCATAACCTTGCATTTCTGGAGACTCTGGTCTATTTTCATGTTCCTCATTATCCTGGGTATCTGGGGCCTGCTGCTTATCACACCTATCATCTCTTGGTTCTGAGGTCTGCTCTCTCTCTTGTAGTCTCTCATCATTCCAGGGATCTGATGTTGCTTGTCTGTCTTGGTGTCTTCTTTCATTTTGAGCTACTTGAATCTGCTGTCTATTTTGGCTTCTATCATCCCTTGGTGCTGGGATCTGCTGTCTCCCCTGTTGCCTCTCATCACTCCAAGGGTCCGTTGTCTGTTGTCTAACTTGGGGTCTGTCATTATCTCTTCCTACTGTAGTCTGATCTCTCATTTGGTCCTGCTCATCATTTTGGGGTTGTGGGGTTTGCTTTCTAAATTGTTGTCTCTCATCATCCCTTGTTGCTGGGATCTGATATCTAACTCTTGGCTGCCCATTATTTCTAGAAGTTGGCAGCTGCTCTCTTATTTGGGCTCTTGCTTCTTCTTTTTCTGATACAGATTGATCTCTAACATATTGTCTATCATCATCCTTTAATGTTGGCTGTTGCCTGCTCACATAATATTTCTTCTTGTGACTAAGTAACTGGCTCTGATCTCTTTCTTGGCATCTCTCATCATATCTTGCTTCTAAATCTTCATCAGTCTCATAGAATTCTGGAACATCTCTTGGATATGATGTTTGATTTCCCCCTTGGTATTTTCCATCATCTCTTGGTTCTTGAGATTGCACATTCACTTGATGTCTCCTTTCCTCCCAGGCTCCTGGGATTTGGCCACTCACCTGATATCTCCTATCATACCTTACTTCTGGGGACTGTTCTCTCACTTTGTACCTCCCATCATCCCTTGGACTTGGAATCTGATCTCTCACCTGATGTCTCTCATCATATCTTAGTCCTGGGGTCTGCTCTCTCACATGGTATATACTATCATTCCTTTGCATTGGGATCTCTTCTGTGACTTGATGGTACCTATTGTCTCTTGGTGTTGGAAGAGTTTCTATAAAATGTCTTTTCCCACTGTCCCTTTGTCCTGATGTCTGCTCTGTGACCTGGTGTCTCCAATCATCTTCTGGTGCTGGTGTCTGCTCTTTAACTTCATGTCTCTTATCACATCTTGAAAATTGACTCCTATCTCTGACATGGTATTTCCCATCATCTTCATTACCTGGGCCCTGTCTCTCAGAATTTCCAAGTATTGATGTCTCACCTCTAATGTGGCAATTTCCACTGGCCCTTGTTGCTGTGCTCTCGTCTCTTACACGGATCCTTGTTTCTGCCCTGGATTCTTTTTGATCAGCAGTCACTCTGTGCTGCCCAGCATCCTGAGGGGTTTGGGGATGGTCATTCCCACGATCTCTCCCATTGTTGGTTGTTGCTGGGAGTTCATTGCTTCTTGGCGGTGTCCCTTCTGCTCTCCCTTCTTGTGACTCTTGTGACTCAGATCTTCTCCCCCCTTCCTCTATTGCTGGGCAGAGGAGAGGTTGAATGCATGCATAACAGGCTTTCACCACACTGAAGACCAGTAAAACAAATTCACTGAAGTCCACTGTGCCATCACCATCTTTATCCAGGAGTTGGAGGATTTTGTCAGCTGTCTCTGAATGACCAGGTTTCTGTAAGAAAGTAGGAAAAAATTGTTAACTATGAACCATTTCTCTTGTTGGTATGCATTCTACCATCTAATATACTTATCAGGAGTTGTTTGTCTTTTTATGTATTTAGTTTTGATGATCAGGAATGGTGATTACAACAGAATATGGAACTCCTGGTGTGAAATCTCCTCCCATCAATTCAGATCATCACCTCATGATCTTAGATAGTTCCTTGAGGGGACTAAGAGGTTAAGTAACTTGGCCCCTAATAGATTATGACTTCAGATCAGATCCTTCCTAATCAAAGGTTGGCCCTATATCTACCATGCCACATTGCTTGAGACCTTTTACATGGAGTCCTGCATTGGTTCCATATTTCAGCGTACAACCTCGGCTTTTCCTACCTTTTCAGTCTTCTTATACTTTACCCACCTCCATTTACTCTGTAATCTAGTGACACTGGCTTCCTTGATGTGCCTTGCATCTCTCTGGTTTAGGCTGAGAACTTTGGCTGTGCCCATGCTTGGAATGGTCTAGCTCCTCATTTCTGCCTCCTCATCCCTATTTCTTGGCTTCTTCCAAGTCTGCAAGAAGCCTTTCCCAGTCTTTCTTAATATTAGTGCCTTCCTTCCAAGACTGCCCCTCAATTTATACTGTATACAGCTTGTTTGAACACAGTTGTTTGCATGTTGTCTCTGCCATTAGACTCTGAACTCCATGAGAGCAGAAACTCCCCCCCCCCCTTCTTTGCATCCCCAGTATTTATCACAGTGCCTGGCACAAAGTAGGCATGTAACAAATGCTAGTCAATTGACATGCTGAGTCTGTTTTCCTATTTTGTCCCTGGCCAATGAAATACATGTTACAAAGGAATGAAACAATGTTGGACATTTTTCACACTGATCACTAGTAAGTAAAAGCAAATAACATGTCAGAAATGAACCGAGAGTCAATCAGAGAATTCCCAGTGCAGGGAACTGTGGGCCTTTTTACCTGAAGGGCTTCTCCAAATTCTTCTTGTAGTAGCTGTTTCAATTCTTGCTTACTCAGTCTCTGGCATCCTTCATCCCTCCGTGCATTTTTGTAGAAAACATCGATAACATTAATGATACCTTTGAGGAGTTGAGGCATATTTTTGTCTTCCCAGTGGGATTGTACCTGAAGTGAGAAATTATAGAAAAATATTTACTTCTAGTGTATCTTTTTTTTTTTTACTCATCCCTCTCCATCTCCCAGAGGCTGATGCACTGTGATAGAAATGTTCTCTTTTGTAGGACAGAAATCCAGCTGACATTTAAAATGAAAGGAGAAGCTTTTCAGGTTAGTTTCACCTTACAGTGAAATTAAGAAAAAACTCAAGGAAGGCACTATTGGCTCTGCCATCATGAATGACTTCCCAAAACATACTGACCTGTGACAAATGCTGACAAGTCTTCTCTCTTGTGTATAAGGATTGTGGACATTCCTCTGTTCATAATATTCATAGAAATATACCAAGTACCTTTGGTATTGCCATGCCTAAAATATCATCTGATGGGAATGAATCATTTGTATTTCTAAAGATTATGTCAAGAATAAGGATGATGAAAGGTGTTCTCATAGAATTTTATATTCTTAAAAACTCCTCCAACTTTGCAGTGAGAGAACTTGACTTTGACTCTTATTTCTGACATTTATTACCTGTGAGTCCTTGGGCAAATCACTTGATTTCCTTGGGCCTCATTTTTCCTCATCTGTAAAATGGACTAGAAGGGATCTTCAAGGTCCCATCTAGCTCCAGATCCATGACCTATGATCATCTAGCTCCAGATCCATGACCTATCTATAGTCTGGCAGGGGCGGGGAACCTGCGGCCTCAAGGCCACATATGGCCCTCTTGGTCCTCAAGTGTGGTCTTTTGACTGAGTCCAAGTTTTACAGAACAAATCCCATTTTTTTAAAAGGGGAATTGTTCTGTGAAGTTTAGATTCAGTCGAAGGGCAGCACTTGAGGACCTAGAGGGCCACATGTGGCCTTGAGGCTGAAGGTTCCCTACCCCTGGACTCTAACCCCCTCCTATTATCCTTTTAGGATCATCTATGGAAGCGACCCTGAAGGTCATCTAGTCATTCTCCCCATTTTACAGACAAGGAACTGAGGTTCAATATTTTGTACATTACTTTGCAAACTTTAAAGTGTCATTTAAGTCCACCATCGCCATCAGTACTAAAACTCTCTTCCTTCTTTCTCAAGTTAACCAAACCCTGGCTTTCTCCTGAAAATAGCAGTTTCCTTGAGATCTTTCTCAATAGACAGCAGAGGCTGTACTTTCTTCCATCCCCTCTCCCAAATTCATAAAGTCAGGAGAAGATATGGCATATGATGCATAAATTAATTCATGGACTTCTGGAGCTGGAAGGGACTTTTGACAATATCTAGTAAACAACCTTATTTTATAGATTTGGAAAGTGGAACCCAGAGAGGGAGGCAGGGTGGAGTAGTGGCAAGAGTAATGGATTTGATCTCAGAGGCTCTGAGTTTGAATCCTGGTTCTGCTGGCCTTGGGCAAATCACTTTCTCTTGGCCTCACCTTTCTGAGCCATTAACATAAGGGGGCTGGACTAATTGACCTCTAAAAGCCTTTCCCAATTTAAACCTATGAACCATCACCCTATGACCTATTCAGGGTCACACTACAAGCTAGTGACAGAGCTGAGACCTGAACCCAGATCTATTGCCTCTCATTTAACCTTGGTGACACTAGATTTGGACTATGGCAGAACCATAAAATCTTAGGGTTGAAAGGAATCTCAGCTCTCTACCAATCTAATCTCCTCATTTTAGGAATGAGGAAAATGGAAGATCTGAAGGACTTGTCTAAGGTCAAACAGCCAATTTGCAGTAGAAAGTCCCTAGGAAGCAAAGTAATCTACAAATTTGATACACAAAAAAATTTCTCTCATCCTTAGTGGTTACATAGTTGGAAGAAAAGAATCTCTGTAAAACAATGGGAGTAGTTCAGCTAAGTAAGTTTTGTGGTCACAGCAACCAAAACAGTGACTCAGTCTAACTGTACTTGGAACCTGATGGTGTAAGCTGGGATTGATTCATCCACTAGAAATCATTCTTTCTTCTCTAAGTGTCTGATGTCAGCAAGGAAAAGGAAAAGACCTGAAGACTCATGGAGAACAGTGAGCTTTTAGGAGCATCTGGAGGGAAAAGAAAGAGGACAGCATATTTTCCAAGTTAAGGTCACTGGGCAGCTACTCTCAACTCAGAAAACAAACAAACAAACAAACAAAAACATCTAGGCAACAATATCTTGGAAATAAAACTTTTTGTTGAAGCTGATTGAAATTCTGCTCTTCTCATTACAGGTCAAGTTTTGCAGGGTTTGGAAAACAAGAGACTCGATGAGAAACATTCACCATATCCCTAGAGCCCACAAAAAAACTACCAGAAAGACAACCATTGAATGAAATAATAAAAAAAAAATGCTTCCATTGATTCTTACCTTGGTCACCAAGAGCAATGGCAGACTATGGCTGCAGAGCACCTGGAATACTGGGGATGTGAGTTCTCTCTCTTATATAGGGGTTTTAATTGCACCCTTTAACCATACATCTTTTGTAGACAACGCCCTTTATGTAAAATGGACTGATTCATTACCAACCAAACCCCATTCCACCTGTTTCTTCCCCAATGGGTTGTTTAACTCAGCATTTCCTTGACCAGCTTTGCCTAGTCTGCATTATGTTTGCACTGGTGGTCTCATTATATTAGCATTAGCCCTATCTCCAGTTCATTGCATGGATGATACTAGGATTGTAAATTTAGAACTGGAAGGGGCCATAGAGGTTGTGTGTTCCAATTCTCTCCCCCACATTTTACAGATGAGGAAACTGAGGCCCTGAGAGGTTAAGAGATTTATCCAAAGTTGAAGAAGTAGTGTGTGCTGGCAGTGTGTTAAAATTAAATAATTTCTGGAAAGAGGCCATGTAAAATGCCAAAGGGGAATCACAATGTTAGTGCTAAAAGAGACCCTAATGGTCATCTAGTCTGGCCCTTCATCTTATAACTGAGAAAACTGACACCCAATGAAGTGACTTTTATGTATGTAGTTATTTACATATTGTCTTCTCCATTAGAATAGAAGCTCCTTGAGGGCAGGGACTGTGTTTTTGCCTGATGTATAGTAGGCACTTAATAAATGCTTGTTGATAGACTGGCTTGCCCAAGGTTATACAAATAGTTAATGGCAGTCATCACATGAATTCAGCCCTTCTGATTCCAAAGACTAACAGTATTTTGAACCCAGCTCTCAAGGGATACCAGCCATAAAAGGAGTCTATTTCACACATTGCAATGGGTGTACCTTGATTGATTTATATGAGATTGAAGTATTCAAATACAGTAGAGACCTGTGGTGAAGTGATTCTGTATAACAAAGAACCCATGTAACCGAATCTTGTCATTAGCCCTGGCTCTTCCCTCTTCTTCAGGCTCTCTATCCAATCAGTTGCCAGGCCCTCTTGCTTCTTCTTCCATGACTTCCTTTACATTTGTCCCTTTTTTTCATTCAAGCAGCCACCACCATAGTTCAGGCTCCCATCATCACCTGCCTAAATTATTTCAAAAACTTCCAAGTTAGAATCCTGGCTTCCATTCTTCCCCCTCTCCAACCCATCATCCACACAGCTTCCAAATTGATATACTCAGACCACAGGTCTGTTTGAGTTACTCCTTTGCTCAAGAAATGTCAGTGGGTCTCCATTACTTCTAGGATAAAATACAGACTACTCAGTCTCACATCTAAAACCTTCCACAGTCTGACACTCATCCACCTTCCTAGATTCCCTGCCCCCTCCCATCTGCCATATTTCTCCCTTTATGCTCTCTATGTTCTAGTCAATCAAAGTTATTTTCTGAAATTGTTATTCCATCTCTGCCTTTGCACAGGCTCTTGACGGTGTGAGAAATGTCTAGCTTCCTCACCTCTCTCTCTTAGAATCCCTTGTTTCCTCCAAATCTCGCTTCAAAAGCCAACTCAGCTGACACATCTTTTCTTATCTCCCTAGTTGCTGATACTGTCTCCCTTCTTTAATAATCTGTTTGCTTGTTCTATCCTTCTTGTAGTATATAAGCTCCTCGGGAAGGAAATTTTTGTTTTTGACTGTATTCACACTCTCTTAATAGATGCTTGTTGGATTGGACTGGCTTATGGTACATGCAATTGTCTTGGGACAAATGAGCAGCTAGGTGGTGCAGTGCATAGAGTACTGAGCTTGTAGTCAGGAAGACCTGAGTTCGAATCTGACCTTAGACACTTACTAGCTGTGTGATCCTGGGCAAGCAACGTAACCTCTATTTGCCTCAGTTCTTCAAGTAAAGGGGGGCATGCTGGAGAAGGAAATGACAGATCACTCCTGTATCTTTGCCAAGAAAATGGTCATGTAGAGTGAGATATGACTGAAGACTGGATAACAACACTCGTCTTAAATCTCACCCAGCTTCTTTCCCACCCCACTGGCTTTGCATGCTG